CTCTATTTCCATCAAGAAAAACATAAAATATCTGGGTGTTATATTAGATAGCAGAGTTTGTTGGCATGATCATATCGAATACATAAAGCGTGCTGGCCTCATTTTTCAAACATTCTCCAGGGTCGCTCGAAGCACATGGGAACTTTCATATGATGGACTAGATATTATTTACAATCACCTATTTATACCAATAATTACTTATACTTGTGGAGTCTGGGGGTGGGTTTCACACAAAACCCATCCTAAAAGGAAATTAATATCCGCACAATGAAAGGCTATAATTCTCCTCACTAAAGCATATAGAACAGCACCAAATGCTTCCTTACAAGTTATTACAAGGAAACCTCTTATTGACATACATATAAAATATCTTAGTCGAATTAGCAACCTTAAATGAAGAGAAAATATTGATACTTCCACAAATATTATAGATGTTAATGATATAGAATTCTTGACCCCTTTTGACCAATCTACAAATCCCTGTCTGCCTCCATCTCAAATGACCATTGAAACACATGATGGTAATATTATTATATATACTGATGGTTCCAAAACAAATAATTACGTTGGATGTGCCTTTGTAGCATACGCATATAATCAGGAAATCTAAAGTCAATGTTCAGACTTGGAGGATTATCAATTATATTTCAGGCAGAAATGTTTGCTATTTTAATGGCTGTCACTTGGTCTAATGATACTTATAATAACTGTTATATAACAATAATTAGTGATAGTGGCTCCTCTTTGGCTATACTTGAAAGTAATAAACTTTATCCTATATCCACCAAAATCAAACATCTGGTCCATACATCTAATAATATCTACACTTTACAGTGGACTATGGCCCACCAATGCACAGTCGGAAACGAATGGGCTGACTTCTTAGCAAAAACCACCGCTACTAACGACAGTCTCCCTGTCTCATATAATAAAAATAAGCATAAAAGTTGTGAAAAGAATTTTATGGCTGGAGCTTATGGAGGAATGGCAATACAGATGGAATGAGCGTGAAGGATCCAGCACCTATAGATTCTTTCCATGTATTGAAGAAATATATAAACTTAAATGGATTAAACCGAATCACTGGATAACTCAATTTCTCACAAATCATGGGAAATTCACCAGTTACTTCACCAGGTTTTCTGGACTTAATACAAATCTATGCCCTGTACGTCAGATTGAAGACGGAAATGAACATTATATTTTCGATTGTTCGATACTTGAAGGGAACGAAATGAAATCCAAACTATACTACATCAACAAAGTATATCTTGGCCATGTGATTTACCTAATCTTATTAACACAAAAGAGAAATTCTTTTACTTTAACAAATGTTATGGCAAACTTTCTACCATCAGAGCATAATTACCATTTACACTGAAAGTGTCATGCAACTATTTAATTGAACATTCCTTAACTAATTGTTAATGCTGTCAAATATTTTACACATTCTTATTCAATTCTTATTATGCTCCTATCTATCTATTATTAAATAAGTAGTTTCACCTAAATAACTTATTGATTAATGAGGTATCCGAATTAGGTTCATTTTAACTATTTATATATTATATAAACATTGCTAAATTCATACTAATGATAAATTTCATTGCTCCTGTATGTATCATAGTTCATTCCAACTCTTTTGAGATCTTGCTATTGGTTTTGGTTCCAGGGCTTTAATGTAGGACTTGAATTTGGTTTGCATTTGGAACTCACTTTAATGGCTGGGGATCTGCATCACTTCTTCGTGACTTTTGCACCTAATTATGGGTCTGTATCGACTGGCCCTTATCTGCTAATTGTCTCATTTTGCAAGCATATAGACTTTGTTCAAATCCTATTGAAGGAAACTGGCACAGACGACTTGCACAGAGGAATAGTCTCCGGATGCTGTTAGTGAAATGTCTCCAGACATCCTTCCAGATCTTGGATTATGATAAAATTTCACAAAGAATACTAAAAACTTGCACAACATACTTCATATTTTAAACCTTCAGCCTTCTATTTTGGTCATGAAATGCTTCCTGACATATTTCCAGACTTCGGAATACGTGTTAACCACCATAAGAATATTTTACAGAAGTGTGAGATAGTGCAACTGAACTTGTGACGAACTTACATAACTGCCGAAACTAACTGCCAGAACTATGTAGGCTAATAAGCTGAGTGATATGGACATGTGTTTGATCATTTTTGGCAGTTAACTTCTATTGTCAATTACAGTAATACCCCGAACTTACGTGATAGTTGGGACCGAGCGGTAACCGCATAAGTCGAATTCGCATAAGTTGGGGTATAATTTCGCATATAAATACATACAAATAATTTTTAATTGGGGCCGGAGACTAAATAAAACAATAATTTAGAAAAAAAATGTTTAATAAAATCTTAGATTCCGACAATTCCGGTAGATCAAACTTCTTTGCCAATTCACAAATTTTCATTTTTGTATCAAAGTCTTTAATAATGGGTACGTTCGTAAAGTCAAACCAGTTAAACGCATTAGTAACGAATCGTTTGAAAAGTCTAATGAAATAGGAATAACGATGACTTCATTCTCTCTTAACTCGTTCGACTTTACGAACATACCCAATGTTAACTTTACATTCCAAAGATAAAGTTTTTCTTTTCTTGTTTCTCCGTAGATATAAAAAACACAGAAATAAATAACACAAAATAAATTGTAGCTATGTGTGGATTCCGTGGACACATCCGAACATGTAAGCTAAACAATAATGTGGGGGGAGTGAGTAATCAAGGGTTGCGTGGCGCTCAAACAAAAGACGAATCGACGAGATTTGAAAATCGCATAACTCTGGGTTTGCGTAAGTTGGGGTAGCTTAAGTCAAGGTATTACTGTATATGTTTTCTTTTTTGTTTTTTTTAATAATGCCCAAAAGACTTTATACAAAGACTTTACACAAAGTTGGGCTTCGTATAAATTTATACTTTACAAATATATAAAGTTTTTTTTTTTTTTTTTTGATTCTGATGAAACCGTGTTGTTGTTATTAAGCTGTTTCTTTGCAGACACACTAAGGTGACATATATCAACACTTGGCAACTTATTGACTATTTATTCAGTTGGAGTTTCACGTTTTTCTGCAAATGTTTCCAATTTATAATGAAATGCACTAGACATTGAAATATTTGTAATAGCCATATTTTCAACTGTGTCTTTTCCATAACAACAATGTTGCGAAACGTAATCAATAGCTGCTTCTCTGACTTCTTCCACCGATAGTCCTGCTCCTTTATGAATTTCTTGACGTTCTGGATGAACAGTTGGAAGATCAGGATTAATTGGAGGCGGTAAAGTAAGTTACCAAGTGCGGTAAGTTGCCAAGTGTTGATATATGTCACCTTAGTGTGTCTGCAAAGAAACAAAAAATATATAAAGTGTTTAAACTTATATAACTGATTATCAATCTTAATTATGTAATATACTTCTTTGTTAACTGGCTGTGCTGTGCGGCACCAGAAATGTAATACTTAAGTAAATAAAAGAATTGTATGTGTATTTGCTTTCTGATTGGACAGAAGAGAATTATTTTTGTAAAGAAATATTTTTCAATGATTGTTTTTCAGTTGGCAATAGGACTTTTATTAACAATATAGCAATAAGTATTATTTTCAATATTCACTCAATAATGTTAAAAAAAAAAAAAGCTTCACATATAACTAAAAAGTTTATGATGATTTGTCTTAAACTGAAATGATGAATATTTAATTTATTTTATTAAATCAAATAATGAGATAGAAAGTTTTCTTACATTTGATAAATTTTTAAAGCCCATTTAAAGCCTTGATCCCTAGGAATTGCTCTCTATAAAAAAAATTAATGACGTAAAATCTTTTATTTTTAATAAATTTTACTGAAATAGTTTTTCCACATTATTATACTCAATTGCAGAAAATTTTTGCTCTATTTCTTACTATTATGAATTTTTAAAATGATTTCCATAACTAATTGTTTTTGAACTTAGTTGCTGAACAAAGTTCAAAAATAATTGTGTTATTTCTGGTTTTGGTTTGACATATTTATGGTTATGGTTTGGTAATAAATTACAAAACTGTAATTTAATTTATGTAACTTTAAGTTTCTTTGTAAAAACATAAAATTAATAATAAAAATGCATTACAAAACATATTGAAAGAGAATGAATATGATAGTGAAACTAATAATAATTAGTTTTTGAATAAGATGAAAGTTGTTGAATATTTGAAATGTTTGACTGAATAACTATTTTAATTAAGGCTTTCTAACAAAATATTAAAATTTTCAAGATTACTTTTTATTAATAAATATTCTCCATATTTCATTTGTTCAAAAATGTAATAGCAAAAGAGGCTCACTCCACCCCTATCCTCATACAATCCTGCATATAGGTTATAAACATTTATGGTATCACAAATTATATTTTATGCAATAAAGATACAAATCTATGTCTAAATATGAAAACAAAACTTGTTTTTATGAGAAATTTTATTAAAAAGATGTAGAAATTGTCTGTAAAATCAGCTTAATCATTATTTTTTTCACATACATGAATAACAATAATAGAAAGTTGTGTAATCTGTCAAGTGTCACCAGACAAATCTTTATTTAGAAATCTAGTGTTTTAACATATGTTTAAATTAATTCATATTTATAAAAAGGGGCAGAATGAAACACAATCACGATAAGGAAAATGATTGATGGTATGGCATCCATTAAATTTCAATTATGTTTACAATACTGATCCAGTGTGGTTTTAATAGAAAAACATATTATTTGATAAAAACATAACCTGAAAATTAATATAAATTTTGTTAAACATAATATACTTAAATATTTAATTTAAATAAAAACAATAGATTTAAATTAAACACACAATTTACCCACAATTCACATTAGAATTTTAAATTCAAATTCGGAAATAGACAATTTATTCGATAAATATAAATTTCGATTATATATTTTGTTTATTTAATTATAAATATATTATAATTTAATTTACCTGTTTAATGACTACGGAAAATTGAATTTTTCTAATAAAAATAGACGGAAAATATAGAAAACGTCGTATCTCTATGACTTCAGCAGCCTGCTACCGGTCACGAGATATCACGTGCAAGAAATTTATTCGTCGTGTTATTAAAAAAATGATAACATTGGCTTAAAATTTTTATTTAAAATTTTAATTCGAAACGAGTTTTGAATAAAGAAATTTATTGTTTAATATTTCTTTGTAAATTTAAAATAATTTTAATATGACCTTAAGACGTATTCCAAAAACTTGTGACGTAATTCGCGCGACATAATAAATCGATAAAATAGACATTTTTAAAGTTTAAATTAATTTGATAAATTATAACGATTTTAATATGAATTAATATTTTAATAATTATGATAATTTTTAATATATAAGTAATTTTATTAATAAAAATAAATTTTTAAAAATTCGAGTGAACGGCATCGATCTAAAAAGACTTATCGATTTTAAGATAAGTGTTGTCAATGTGGAGTTGCTCGTGTTTATTTTACTCTTGATAAAAAATTATTTAATCAGTCGCCGGTCGTTTTAGTTACGTTTGAAGGGAAATTGTAATAATTGTCTCATTTGTCAACCCATGACACCAACACTTTGTTACAATATAGGCCTGTACAGCGGTCAAGGCGACTCTGGGGATCCGGGTTCGAATCCGGACGGGCCAATAAATCCCCAAGAATTTTACGGGGGATGGTCCGTCCGGTTATGTCGGACCCCCGTCTCTCACCACCCGGCCGAACCCATAATGGGTTTGCTAAAAGAGACAGGGTGGAAAGAGTTATAAATATATATATATATAGTATATGTATAGGCATAAATTATCTACGAGATTTTCCTTATGTAGGCGGCATATATACTGAACGATCCTGCATTAGAAACAACAAGTCAGAACCATCTCGGAAGCAGTAAAGAGATGCCCTGTAATTGTCACTTCATAACTCGCTGCAGTCGTTTGACTTGTCATTTGCATAGTAGAAGGCAATAGTTGCCGTTTATGGGCAAACGGGACGATTTGAATGACTTTAACTGCAGACAGATCATTGGGATCTAGAGGACTGGTGCGAGTACTGTATTTCCGAAACAGTTACATTTGTTAATTGTTCTCGTATCACGGTGTACAGAGAGTACCGGGAATGGGTGGATCACGCTCAAACATCCAGATCCCATTGATCCCAGATTGAGTGTTGCGTGTCAAGACTGGTTTCTGAACAGTGGAACAGTTTACCCGCAGTAAAACAGTGGACAAGACAGACATATTCCGACAGTGATCGTGAGACTTATTTTGAATCGACTTGGATTCAATAGTTGTGAACCTGTACGGGCGCCTCTGTTGACCATGCGTCATCGCAAACAACGTGTCACATGGGAGAGAGATAAACATCATTGGACCCTGGACACGTAGAAGAAGGGCCATTTCCTGCTAAACCATACTAATTTCCGGGTCCGAATCTGGCGTAAATAACATAAAGCCGCATCCCCTGGCTTCACAGTAGGAAGTTACAGAAGCTGGAGGTGGTGGTCCGGGGATTGCTCTCTTGGTCATTGGCGTTATCCCACAATCCTTGAGTAGTGATCGATGCAGCGACCTGTTGGATGATCATTTGCATCTATACCTCCAGGATATGTTTCCTGACAACGATACCATGTTTAATTAAACATAAACGATACCATGTTTAATTAAACATGGTATCGTTGTCAGGAAACAACACGATGCTTTATTATGTGTTGCCGGGAATGGTTGGAAGAACCCACCAATTAATTCTACACACTGCCTTGGTCGCCAAACTTAACACATTGCAACCCATTGAATATGTTTGGGATATATTGGAATATGTGGTGAGGCTGTCACCCGCTCCTACGAGAAATGTGCACCAACAAAACTGCTCGGATCCAGTTACAAATAGATGATGTTCGGCATCTGATAGGGTCCATGCACCGACGTTTGCAAGCCGTAATTACCCAGAAACGTAGACCGCAGGTGTTCCTAATGTAGTTATTATTCAGTGTATATTTATATAGATATAATAATAAAAATCTTAAAAAGTTATGCATTTCCAGTATATTAATTAAAAGTAACAAATAAACTTTTAATTACGTTGAAATCACATTTAGATTACAAAATGGATGGCATCAAAATAATTAGCATAAATTTTAATTTTATTTTCAATTCAAATAGAATCCTAATAAAAGCGTTGTTAAAACTTCTTTTGTTTTTACTGCAGGCCCGCCTCAGACGATTGTTTTTCAAGCCTCAGATAGGCCCCGCATTTTCAGATTTGTAAGAAAATTTGATAAAAGAAATTTATTTTTCTTTTTCAAATATTTTAGGGCCTACTAACAACTTTTTCCCGTGCCTCACGAAACTTCCAGCCGGCCCTGTTATTGTGTAACAAAAGTATATCTTAATATTATTTTAAATACAGTATATTCTATTGGTTTACAATAACAGAGCAAACTTCGTTCTGAATAAAGTGTAAAGCTAAATAGACTAAAGTCATTCGTTCAGCAAATAAACGTTATCAATTTAAAGAATTTTATCTCTATTTATGAAAAAGATTTTATAAGATCAACAAAAAGATTAGCTTTTAGTATCTGATATTTGTTATAAGAAATAGATAAAATTATCCATTATTTATATAAATTAAAAAGTTATTATCTATTTAGTTAAATTATTAAACAAAGATAAAAATTATCTACCTATTTATGGGTTTCAAGAGCGTGGCCTTACCGCCTCAGTAAATGGATTTGATTAAAATGACATTCTTAACGGCCACATGGCGCTATTAGTGCATTTGATGGATCGATGAAACACATGGGCAATCTGTCAAGGGAAAATGCTTCTCTGAAAGACGTTTACGGGAAGCGGGCCCTTATTTAGTTGTTAGACACGTGAAGAAATTTCGTAAAACCACATGGAAAACTCGTTGGTGAGGCGCGAATTGACGGCCAGCTACCATTGTTTTATCCACTCCACCACTGGTGAGGTCAGGAAAGACATAAAGAATCAAACATGAAAATAAGCCCATTGCAGCAGAATAATCCATCTCAATGTTAATCATCCTACTGTAACGAATATTCCAGTATTTAAATTACAAAAAATAACAATAAAATAAATAGAATCATGAACTAAATCCTAAAAGCTTGCACAACCAAAGAGGTTACAATCAGAGTTAAACTCTGTTTTTTAATACCACTAATATTACATTTATCTGACTGGTTATATTATAATAACTTCCTTATATTCCTTAAATCAATATTTATGTAAATATCTGAAATACTTTTAAAATGCGTTCGATAAGTTTGGCATTAGAACATGAATCGACAGTACTTTACAGCTGTTGTTGAATGATACAATAAACTGCACACTTATCTATCCGATAGTAATTATTAACAGTAAATAAGTAAAGTCAAAACATGCATTATAAATGTCAAAAATACGATTTTACATTAACAAGATTTGTTTCTTGGGTTATACGATGCAACGAGCTCACTAGAGACCGGGTGGATAAAACCACTTAACACTGGTTCGCGAGTTCTCACCTCTCAAACGTGAAGTTTTCGAATTTTATTCGTGCTTTTAACATCTAACTAGAGGATAATTTCTCCATAGAACATCCTCACGAGAGGAATCCAAGTGTTATAGCCATTCATTCGGCCGCTGACGCTTGCCAATTAGTCAATTTAAAAAGTAGTATTGTTTGATATACGAGACAAGCATTCGAAGAAGTTATTGTAAAATACATGCAATTTATTATGCAATAACTCGTTTGAACGCATATCTATTATCTGGAAAATGTATATTCATTCGAATAGAGTACAGTAAAACCTCTCTACGACGAACACCTGTCCGTTACAGAGAAGTGGTGTTGACAAAATTACTCTTGAATGAAACATCTTTTAAGAGTATACTTATATAAAAACAGATAACACACATATCGCGCAAATATAGCAATACAACACATTATAGCAAAATGTTTAGTGCTGTCTATAGAAAGAACTATTGAGAAAATCTAGATCAAATTTCGATACATAAGAATAGTATTATAGATGAGATTACAAGTGCAAAATGTGAAATTTACGATCTTGCGTGGATAAAAATGTATGATTTTTTCTAGAATTCACAACAGTTTTAACCATTATGCAGACCCTGGAATTGGGAGATGGCATCTCGACAAGTTTAAAAAAAAATAAAACTAATACTCCAAAAATATAATTATGTACTGAGATCTAGTACCTAATGTGACAGGGTCAGGCTGTCGGCTGTAGTGAGATGAAAGACAAAGTGCCGGAGAGATCCCGAAATAACTGAAAGCCACGAGTTAATATGGCTCTGCAGAAACTACTTAAATTCCGACGTTTCGTTCATAAGAGAACTTAACACGTAACGCACAACATCATTAGAAGAATTGCCAATAAATAACTCTTTGCCATTCGCCTTAAATATATTCAAACTTTAGTTGGTTAGAATACGCTCGTAATATGCATTTAAAAAGACATTTCACTAATTACAGATGATATAAAATCAAAAATCGCTTTGTCATCACAATATTTAGCAGAATCCTCCAGGTTGTCTGCCGCCATGTTTGAGAAGCGACCACGCATTTTGCTTTTCAAGTTTTTTCAATAACTTTATAGAGTTTCCATTTTGTTTAATAGTAGCATGTTAATGAAATATGTCCTGTAATATT